CATTCCAGGGTGGCCTTTTGTTGTGGGCAGTCTGAGGTACACCTGTGCACTACTCATGATGTCAGAAGAGCATCCTGATGTGGCACACCTGTGAGGTGGGATGGATTATCTCAATATAGCAGATGTGCCCACTACCACACATTTGGACTGATTTGTGACCACTGTTTGGGAGGGACGGTTATATTGTGTATCTGGAATGAATTTTAGGTCTCTACGTCCATCCCATGGGGAATGGGAGCAGTAACAAAGGTGTTGCGTTTATATTTTTGTTGAGTGTATATATATATATATATATATATATATGTGAATACAACAAAAAAGATGCAAATGTAATGCTAAAACAACAAGGATGCACAAATTAATCACATAACTAGATTAAATGATGATAATTCTGATAATTCTCTATAATAACTACTTGATTAATTGACTTTGACATATGCAATAGGAAGGAATAAGAACTTACCTGTGGGGTTTCCAGGGTTGATGATGCATAAGGCTCGGGGGTTGCAGTACTGCCTGGCCTCATTTACAGCACGCTGCAGCTCAGTGATGTCCAGGCTCCAGCACTTTTCCTCATTAAGGAAATAGTTGATCTGCACAGCGCCCAGTTCGGCCAGTGCAGCTGAATACAGGGGATACTGAGGTATGGGTATCATAACACCGGTACGGGTTGTACCTTCGCCACACACCAGCAGCTTCAGCATTGTCTGAAGAACAGGTCGGAAAAGATTTGTGATGCTTCAGTTATAATGCTGACTGCACTATGAAAATTACTTCTTTTTTTTTTAAATACTGGTGGCTGCCAGTGCTAACTCTCATCCTCCTAGTAGATGCACCTTTGGTATCAATTTCAAAATCCTACGTTGCTTTGTTCTTTATTGCATTTACAAGTTTTTCAAAAAACTTGACCTCTGACCTTTACGATGAAGTCACTGAGATTCAAATTAGTCTTAGACTTTTACAGATACCTCTATGGTATCAATTTCAAACTCCTATGTTACCTTGTTCTCGAATTCTTGCAAACCTACATCTGCACGTTGCCCACTGGCCCCGCAGGGTTATGATGTTGTTTTCTAAAAATAATTAGGTTATTGTGTGCAAATAGAAATAATTTAAGCTTTCTAAGAGAAACTAGGATGTTTAAAAATGCTATGTTAAAACCTCATGCTCTGTTAAAAAAGCACTTGGAAAATTTTTGACAAAAACTTTGGGGCTAATAATTGTGCCCTCATCTGCATGTACCGGTACATATAATCAGATTTTCGAATTACGTAGTAGTTTGGCTGCATCTTGCTTAACCTGAATGCAATATATAACAAATATATACACGTACGACAAAAATGCACAAGAAATTAGTTCTTTGTGAGCATTCTACGAAAAATAAATATTATATTTGAGTAAAAACCCAGCTAACATTACTGCCAGATAGAGATGCTATCGTTTTAGGTCATTTCTCTTGGAGAACAAAACCGTTAAACAGCCCAGACAACCCATGAAAGGGGTCATGAGAAGGTAATACCCATCTAGCTAGCCAAAATGCTCATGCATCAGTGATCCAGTTTCAGCCTTTCTTTGATTGGCTGACATTCAATAGATTTGTTCTCACACGTATTTATTTCCCTGCTAATTGTTGCATGTACAATGCATCCTTTAAAAGCAGGCTCACTGCTGAGGCTTTAATTTCACAAGCCTGTTTTTGTAGTTCAGTGTTCAAAATCAAAATCGAGCTACTTCCTTCACTGTTGCTACAAGACAAATGTGCATAATTAAAACTAAAATGGAGACATAAATCACAGTACCACAATGCCGTCGCTGGCTCCTGTGGTGAGATAAATGTTATCTGGGTCACAGGCCACACCGCCATCCCGTCGTTCAATGTAACGGGCCACGTCCTGACGCACAGAGTCTATGCCTTGACTGGCACTGTAGGAACCTGAAGGAGATTCATATGGAGACGATGCAAGCTGCTATAGTAACACAAGCTCTAGAATCACCGCAGTGGCTATATATCACTCAGTAGGTGTATGAAAGGACTAAGGGTGATAATTACTAACACAAAAAACCCCTAGACCTCATACACACCCATACTGTTCCCGCCACAAGACTGCAGAATGCGGCATGCTCTACTTTTAGCATCCTCTGGGAATGTGCTGTCACTCAGCAGTTCAGGGTAGGAGCAGAGCGCCAGGACCTTTAAACAACAAGATTGAGTAAGCATAAGGGTGTATTATCTGCATGCATTACTACATAAAACGGGCACACTGACAATGACGTATATGAAGAGTCAGCGTTAGTGTGAAGTACATTAACAAACATGAAAAGAGTTGTTATATTTAGATAGAAGTAAAGGGAAGGGTTTAGGAGCAGACCTGTCGGAAGAAAGTGATTGGCTGCTGGCCCATAGCGTGCGCGTCACCAATGTTGGCCTTAATGACCTCTGCAAAGGGCTTCTTCATTCCCTGTCAAACATAAACACAATTAGCAGCAGTTTAACTATACATTTTGTACACAACAACAACTACTTTGATACATCAAAAAGCTTTTAAAAATAGACAAAGACCATCAGCTGCACCTAAATAACCTTAACACTATGCCTGCACTCTTTTAAACACATACATAACTGTTCCATACACACGGACCCCACACTGGTTTACTGGACATGAGACTTTATGCAGCTGCAAGTTATGCAGAAAAATTAAAAAGTTGCTTTAGGGATCCAGTAACATGTTGGCAGACACTGATATGATTGATAATCACCTATCAACGAATAGTATGATATTTACACATGGCAGTGACTTTAATTTGTATCTGCTGAGTCATATCAGTTTACTGCTAGCTAAATGTGGAAAGACAGTCAGAGAAAGAACTAAAATAGAAAAGAAGAAAACAGAAAACAATAAAGGTACGAGAGTCTGACTGACGATTTTTAAGGACCGATGTGATATGTGGAGAGTTAGAAATCTGATATTTCAGTATATCAGCTGACTCCTCCCTCCACCACAACAGGGAAGCTACAGTGTCAAACATGCAACATCAACACTCATGGTTGAACATTGTGTTTTTTTCTTCGCTTTTTACATTTATTGGCTGTTCTAAATGTCAAATCAGCACTGGTTATCTGCAAAATAGTAATCGACCCAGAAATTCACAATTTGTGCATCCCTAGTTTGCTTTACTGAATGTCATGTCCCAGATATTATCCTGAACAAAAACACTGGGGAAAGTTTTAGCAGCTTTATAGAAAAATGCAAATTCTTTCTAATTTTTTTTCAGTCAGCAAGTTTTCTGGGTGGAAGTTGGGGGGGTCGTTTGTTTGTTCAGTAATGCATCAACAAAGCCAAAGAAAGGCATGGCTGATAAGCAACAAAAGCTGATGTAAACAAATAACAACCCCCACCCCACCCCCTCAAAAAAGGAGCAAAAAAACAAAACTCTTACAGACAGTTAATAAAACAAAGTCTCAAGGCTTATGATTAAATTCTACGAACCCGGTCATTTAAGTAAAATATAAACTCCAGATAAGACAGATATGCATGCACAGCATTTGTGTAAGCTGTGTTTATTCAGGAGGAGACGCAGACCACTTGGAAAAGTAGTTTAGTGAGTCTAGAACAGCTTTGATGGAGGTCAAATGTGCAGACACAGTTTCTACCTGAGCAAACCAGCTTATCACATCACTTCTATTAACCTTGTGAAACAAACAGACTAACATTACACAAAAAGCTTTCAATCTCTTTTGTGCAACCTTTAAAAATAAAAACAGCATGGATTACATGAAGCAACAGTAAGCTAAATGTTTGAAATAATTAGCCATGAATATTATCTATATAAGAGCTATTTGTTTATGGTCTCCCAGGCAAATAATATAATACTCCAAGGTCTGAAAGATAATCTCCTGACCAGCTGAGACCTCTGACGGAGGATAAACAGCAATACAGTGAACCACACAGAGAAACATGCACGTAAACACATGCTGCTAACACCAGATGTTAAGACACAGTGCGACAGTGCAGAAAATCCACCAGTGAAACTACACGCTGACACCCTGCAGAAATCCAAACAACACATTTGATTTGTCCAGTCCAGTTCAGATTTTAGGAAACATGATTCCCTCGCTCTCCCATTGGTCACACACAAGAGGCGTCTCTCAGGCTGAGCCAATAACATTAGACAGTGTGCATAACACCCCTGGGTCAAAGAAGCATCCATTCATGATGTTGATCTTTTAGAAAAAAAAGGCTGACCTCTGCTCCTGGCCTGTGCTTTTTGTTCATCACTTATAAAACAGGAGAAAAAAACAATACTGAAGGTCCAGCAGGAGAGGCAGTGTTTCTTTCTACTGAGGGGCTTTCAACAGTTTCGATTTTGCAGCAAAAAGTCTGTTATAAAAATTCACTTTGCACTCTTATGTGTCTGTTTCTTTGGTTTGTTCAGCTAACAGTGCTCCAGCAGAATTAAAATATCTGGCAGCTCATTCAAACAGCCCCATTCACTATCAGATAGCCGCTCATTAAAACTAAACAACAACGACAGTGTGATATTTATCACTGCATATGCATACTGGTACAGTAGGTTGTTGCAGTTTGTCTTGTTTCTGTGCTCTTTGAACAACACATACTTTGTATATGCTAGAAGGCACAATGCAATACTGGTCCTCATCCAAAAAGCAAACAAAATTTACAGAACAGGGGACACAGCGTGCCTTCTTGTGTGCGCGTACATGCTTAACCTCCTAGGACCTGGCGTCCACATATGTGGACATCACCTTTTGGGTTATTTAGACCAAAATACTCAACATTGCTCTACAAGGGCCTGATATCCACTTACGAGGACATTATACTGCTACTGTTCTACCGAAATTTTAAATGAATATCCTCATATGTGGCTCTCATTTTTCTTAGAAACAAAAATCAGGTAAAAAAAATCAAAAAAAAAATCTGGTAATTCTTTGATTTTACATTCATTGAGCCCCAATATGCCCAAATATCAAAGAGAAATCAAAAATGCATGCCGTGGGAGAGTTCGGGTCTTAGGAGGTTAATGCCCAGACAAAAGAGAGAATATTTTTCTGACTCATTTCCCAAAGTGATCTAAGACTAACCAAACCTGTTTGAACAAGCAGCTGTCCACAAAAGAGTAAGGCGTGCTGCAATAACTACGAACAATTCCAAGCATAATTGGCATCATTTGGTGAGTGCTTCAGAAAAAATGGAGAAGCTGAGAGTAAGCCTAACTGAGATACATTTCTCCCTTCTGGCTGTGCAACAGTATGCAATTAGAGAACTAGTTTTAGTTAGTAGTAAAGTTTATTACAGTTTACCAACAGCTGTAAAAAGTTGTTTCACTTGTGAAAATTCTCCTGTACCTTTAAACCTTAACTGTGCTTCTACCAACTGAATCCAGCTACAATTGTGTCTGCTTTTTGAGCACCTAAACATCAATTAGCACCTGATATAACTGTTGTAGCTGAGAAGAAAATCCCATATGTAGAGAGAGTGCTCATCTGTGGATGAGCATCAGTCAAAGTAAACAGAACATAATATGTTTGGAGTAATTGAACCATCTGGGTAAAGGGCTACCACCGTCATTAGAGACCCTGTTGCCCGATGTTACCGTGCATTTGACCTGAGCGAGAACCCGCTCGCATACTCATCCTTTAACTAAGCAAACCACTCAAGAGAGGACAGTTTTCACACCAGACTGCACTCAGCACACTAACAGCTGGTTGCCACATCACCATAGACAGCTTGTGAAGAAGGGATTGAGCAGAGCAGAGAGAGAGAGTGAGAAATTAGCAACAGGTTCTTATTTGGTGCCAATAAAGTGCAAAGAAACTTTTCTATTATTTACTTAATTTCAATGTGGTTATATAAGAGCTGAGAGTTCATTTTTAGGAGAAGAGAGCAAATCTCTCTTAGTAATTCAATTCACCATAATGACAACAGTTTTTGCTGGAATGCAGAAAAAATTAGACTATGGACTTTCGCTGTGAGGTCAGTTTGTATTTTTACATAAGCAGTCATCGTTTAGAAACAAGGAGTCAATAAGACCAGCTGAAAAACAAGTTAGAAATTAACCAGGTGCATCACAGAGAGACAAAACGTAGCCTTCTGACAGACTTTGATAAGGGCGTGTAGAGGAGTTAACCAAATGTAAACAAAGACTTTTATTTGGCAACAGTAGTTTGTGCGTAGACATTAGAACACTAGTTAACCTGCTGATCTTCAATTCAAGCCAAGTAAGTACATACACTAACTTGTTGACACACTGAAACTCTTTCACGGAATCATATCTATCATTTTGTAGGACTTGAGAACAAAGTAACATTTAAAGTCCCATGAGATTAAAATAGGCACGAGAGGTGAGTGGCATTTGATTGGTTCACAGCTTTGCAATAACTTTCAAAGTAGCACACATACACCCACACACACAATACATTCATCTTACATGGCCACATCAGAAGTTAGTCTTTATTGTCTAGTGAGACACAAAGTAGTGTTCAAGTAGGACTCTAGGCGCCCTTGTACAAACCTCTGAGAGCTCCCTCTCTAGCTCCACGGCGCGCTGTACGATGGGTCCCCGCACGGCGTACTCCACCTTCTTCACCGTGGGGTTCATGGTGTCGATGGTCAGCACCTTGGCCCGGGACATGATCCCATTCTCGGACATTTTCTCTTTGGGAAGTCCACGCCGCGTCGCACTCAAACTCGATAGGGCTCTGCCGGGAGAAGAGGAGGATGACAGAGGGGGACAAGTCAGTGAGCGGGTCCTGGGGTCTCCGCCGGGCCGCTGCGCTCCGCTTCTACCGGCAAACACCTCGTTCCGCCCGCGGCTTAAAAGCCGGACGTTTCTGGAGGAGAGCACCTGCATCCGAGCGGCTGACATGTTACCAGACTCTTTCAAAACAGCCGAGCGACTTTAGAAAACACTTCTGCGGGCACAGCGAGCTGTACCGCGCCGGTTGCTTCACCGGAGAAAGAGGAGTGAAAATAAAGTTGAGCAAGAGGAGTGACCGCCGGGATCCTAAAAACGACTCCGCGCGTGCACAGTCGAACCTTTAGCACGCGCTGAAGTTAAAAGGAGGTTTCGACCAAAAAAAAAAAAAAATATTGCGTCAAAATCTGAGGGTGGTGACAAAATACGACTGTGTCTACACAAAGTTTTCACTGGGCCTTTTTTCTTAGGCGGTGCATATTTAACAACACGGCCGCCAGCGAGCGTACCCCTCCCCTTTTTGTGTAACCATCTATATCCCACCCGCTCTCCTCCGTTACCCGCCGCTCCGTGATGCTGTCAATCAGCGACGGTTCTCCGGTTACTCGGGCTAAACTGCTCCACGCCGGAAAATAAGCTAATCGGCTGCTGACTGTTAACTTCACCGCGCTTTTCTCTTTGTCCCGAGATGCCCACGCGGCCTGGGTGGAGACAGAAGTGAACTAAATAGTTATCAAAGCCCCTCCTGCGTGGACTGCAGCTTTGTTAAACTTCACTCACGTCCCAATCCCCGTGGATTAATGCAAAAGAATGTGAGAAATCTCCATTTCCTTGTACCACAGGAATAAGCTGAATCACGCTGCAGTTTATGTAAAAATCTGCACAAAACGTACACTGTTCCTGGATTAGAAGGAGGCATTACCGTTTCTCATGCTCAGCAGTGTTTCCAGGCCATTGGGAGTAAGGGTCAAACATAAGGAATAAGGTCTGGCCTGGTAACACTGGTACTTCAGAATGGGGTGGTCTTTGTCTAGGATTGTGTCTCCTGGCTCACAGCAACTTCTACTAAATGCAGAATGAGTATGGAGTGCAGTGCATCTGATGAGAAGCGAGGACTAGAAAGCACTTACATGCTACTGATCCTCAGTGATTTTCAGTAAAGCTGAGTCTTCACACTGAAACGTGAGAGTGCAATTGGGTTCCTCAATTTATCGCTGCAGTTGTAGAGAAATGCAAAAACACTGTCATTTATTCATCACCACCAGAAGTGCTCATTCAGCAATGGTGTGTTTCATCAGTAATCACAGCTGTTATTACACCATCAAGTCCTGTAAAATAATTTTTTTGTAACGCAAAGATGATCTTTTTCCCCCCCTTGCATGTAAGTTGTCTCACGGCTTTCTAGAAATGTGAAAATTTTTCTACACCTGCTACTAGCTGGGTTATAATACATAAATACTTAAGCATATTTAATGAAACCCTGCAAAGTTTTACCCTCATACTATGAACATTTTTATGGTTATGGGCTTTCGAAATGCTTAATTTTCTCAGCATTTTATACTCTAATTATTTCTTCATGCTGGAAGACAGAAATGATCTTAAACACACATTTGAGCTCAAATAAAAAGTGTAGCTAGTCCTTGTTTCTGTGACTTTATATAATGGACAATAAAACTGGTGCAGTCTTGCTACCGAAACTATACATTCTGCACACAAACAAGACTTGAGTGGATATAAAATTGGACTGGTTGCAATTTTTAAAACACAGATTACATGTACTTTTCAGACTTCAACATTTCTGTGTCTCCTCTGCAACATTTGGGCCTCAAACATATACTTCGAGGGCCTGTAATTTAATTTAAACTTTAGGACTTAGCTTTGACAGACTCCAATACTACTGACAACATTTTGTTTAATTTAGGAAGTGGTTTTGAGGTTGTACTTTCTGTTGTACAGCTGGATATAAAATTGATCTGGTTGCAGTTTTTAAAACACAGCTTAAATGTACTTTTCAGACTTCAAAATTTCATGTAGCTAGTTCCTGTACTTGTGTCTCCTCAGCCACATTTGGGCCCCAGACATATACTTCGAGGGCTTGTAACTCAAAACGTTCATACTCTCGGTGCAAGGCTTTATTAAATACACTAAAGTTACTGCACAAAAATAGCAGCTGATTCAAAGAATGCTGAGGTGGAAACGTTCAGTTTTGACCACTTTGATTACTCAGCTTTGACTGACTTAAATAATATTGAAAACATTTAGTTTCATTTAGGAAGTGGTTTAGACGTTGTACTTTTTGTTCTACAGCTATTGAGTTTTGCAATGAATCTCTCAGCCAGTAGTGGGCAGACCCATCAACATGAGAAAACACGTGAATGACTGACTCAGTGAAATCAAGACCCAGAGAAATTAACCAACTATATTTAGACAAAATATAGTTGGTATATACAAAATATACAAAAACAGCAGGCAATTTTAAATCCAGTTTAACATCTTCACATTATTCTCCAGTATATTTTAATACACATTGTAACAGTGCTGCCCTCTAACGTAATAACCAGCTTATAGAGAGGCAGGGCAGTTGTGCAACAGTGATGCAAAACAAAACTCAAAGCACTTTGGTGTAACATTTCAATGTGTTTTTATATTTTGCCAGCATTAGAGGCAGCGTAGTAGAAACTGTAAGAGCTTGAGTAGTGTTTCATTGTTTCTACCATAGATTTTACCAGTGCACAGTTAATAACTGTCTTTACAAAAATAGTAGCTTATCTTTATGATGTGAGATTTGTGTGTGAGCATATAATATGCTTGCGTAAATCAGTAAAGAAAATGTAAATTCACATTAATGTTATAGATATTCACCTGTGATTTAAAAAAAAAAGGTGTTAAACAGCAAATTCAATTAGAACCCTGTGGCTGCTACTATATCAGACAGAGTCTGTGTAGCCAGTGTACGCAGTGCAAACGTGGGCACAGATGGTAAGATGAGCAGAAACAGCTGGTGCTGTGGTGTTTGAAGTCCATAGCTTTTGCATTCCTCTGTAACTAGATAACATTGTTGGGGCTGGTGGGAGAATCCAAGAGGAAAGTCTTCAGTGTTGCTTCTTTGAGCCTTTTCTTCTGTGGAGACACATAAAGGCTCTTCCTGGGTGAAGTACCGTGATGTGCTGAAGATATAAAAGAGTTTCAGCAGCTCCCAGCAGCGGGCTCTGGAGAGTAATGGATCATCGTAATGGTAATTGGAAGTCCGTACACAGGAGACTGCGCGACGTGTTTCACGGTTGATGAGAAGAAGTGCCAGCACATCAGGCCGAACGGATACAGACCCTGGTAGGCAGCGTTCTCCAACAGCCAGGCACTCTCTCAGGGTCTCGACCAAAGGAGACCAGAAACGACCCACCAGCCCAGTCTCAGCTCCATGCAGGGATGGGGTTGGACCGCACAGCACACATACGTCTGCTCCGGGCAGCAGCTGGAAGCGGAGAAGACGGTGGGCTACAGTGGGGCTGCCATGAGGAAGGAAAATTGGGTAATCACAAGAAGCAGATCCAGAGGCTGAGTGTGAGCGTATCAAAGCAGAAAGCAGGACAACTTCCTGCGGAGCGAGGCGCCACCACTTTTCAGTTGCTGTAGCGATTCGCCCATGAACAACGAGGCAACCAAACTCGCTTTCTGCAGCCTGAGCAAAACCATCCACTGCCTCCTGAAAAAGAGCAGGATTTGGGGGCACCAGTGAATCAGCACAATGTGTAAGGTTTCCCAGAATACCCTCCTGCTTGTCCTCCAGTAGCTCATCAATAAGACTGAAGCAGGACCTGAGTTCCCTTTTAAGCCTCTCAACATTCCGGACATTAACCAGCTCATCCAGCCCTAACACCAGCACCATGCAGCCCCACACATTCTCCAGGAGGCGTTGTAGACGGGCCTCCTCCTCTTTGCTGCTGCCCACTCCGCCATCTCCACCTCCACTCACAGCGATGAGTATCACACTGTCCTGGAAAAGTCTCCACACCACCTTCCCTCCACCTTGCGTCTCAGAGCAGGTCAACACTACCCCCTGACCACCTCCGAACATGTGAACACCATTTAGAGAGCCTATGACAGAGAAGGGCAGCTGTTTGGAGGCTCCTCTTGTGAAAAGAGGGACCCCGCTGCTGGCTGTGAGGCAAAGAAGCTGTGTAGCGCCATCCTGGAGCATCATCGTGGCAGTAGTGATTTAAGGTTATGCATACGCTCAACAATCTAGCTATTCAGCTGCATGAGATTACTGAGCCAGCTAACTAACGGGTTTAAATGAGCTGATTGTATAATGACAATGACCGAGTAAAGTTGCATCAGCTAGGGTGAGCCGTTAGCATCACGTAATCCATTTTCTTCCAGCTCACTGAACCGGCCACGAACAATGAGACAAGCTATCAAGCAGCAAATCTAGCTACTATACCCGGATATATTCTGCCGGCTAGCTTTGTCAGCTAACTGTAGTTAATATGTCAGGTTAACAAAAGCAGTTACCGTCGTTTCCACAGTAACGCTGTCCCATGATTCATTCTTCACACTGATGAGAGCGGTTTCATTCGGCTGGTCGAGCTGCAGTTACGACTTAACAGCTCTGATGTAACCGCTCAAGGAGATGGACATGGAGACCGACCTGGGTTCAGTGCCCGCGTACATGGAACGACTCTCAACACGGGTGTGATTTCCGTACGTTCACATCTCGCGAGAGTTCAACCAACTGCTCACCAACAGTCGCGAGCAGATAAGATGCCCAGTTCATCATTTTCCCAGAACATTGTTATACAAAATGCTGTACAGTTTGTACAAAGGCAAGCTGCAAATCAACAGAGCAGACTAAAGAGTGTCCTTCTGTATATAAATATAATAAAAATGTGAATAGAGAATAGAGAACATGTCTCAACTCTGTATATTTTTATATATTTTATTTATTGCTTACTCTATTTAATTTGTAAAATATGTGTGTACACACACACACACACACACACACACACACACACACACACACACACACACACACACACACACACACACAGAAAAATATTTAGTATACACATCCAGGAATGCATATACTATTATATATTGTACATATATTTATTAGTTTCAGATGTAGCCATTCTTGTATTTTGCTTGTTTACATTATTGTATTTTGCACAACTCTGTTGCTTGTGAAGCTCGCACACAAGAATTTCACTCACATGTGCTGTACCAATGTACCTGCACATGTGATGTGACAATAAAAGTGATTTGATTTGATTTGAGAAGGTAATTTCTTTGTATTGCTTTTGTTTGGGGTGGTCCTGGGATAGTAACCAGGTTTTAAATCAAAGATGAGATGCAATTTTATCATCAATAATTGCTGTAATTCAATAATATTAACTTTTAAAATAAAGAGGACTCCTGTTACTAACCCATACAATGGAATTATATAGATATATAGATATATACACACACACACACACATATACATGCTTTTGCAAACAATGCATCTGGGACTTCAGTTTTTATGGAAGAGGATTAGGGCAACTGGAGAAAAAAAGATTGGGCACGTCTTTTTCCTTTTCTTTTCTGGAATTCTGAGAAAAAAGCCAGAATTTAATCTCAGAATTTGGGAGGGGGAGACATGTCCTTTTTTTCCCCAGTGGCCCTAATCCTCTTCCATAGTTTTTCCACCTACTGTTCACAGAAGAAATGGTCTCAATAGAAGCGCAGCCATCATTGCCACTGTTAGATTTTGTTCCACCATGTTAGTACTATATGGAAACCATCCGATGGGTAACAACTTAATTTTTTATCATGACAGGGATCTGCCAATACAGTCAAAGCATAGTTGGATAGAAAAATACAGTGGGCCACCTTCAGTCGTGGATTGACCTCCCCAGAGCCCAGGTCTCAACAATATTGAATCAGTGTGGGAACAACTTGACAGAACAGAACGCAGCAAACATCCAAACAGCTTTGATTGTCATTCAAGAAGCCAGGAGAACTATTCCTGAAGACTCCTTAAAGAAATTACTGGAAAGCTTGTCTCAGAGTTCAGGTTTTGAAGAGTCATCACACCAAATATTGACTTTCAAACCCTTTAGACGTGGACAAACCATTTTTGCTTATAGATTATATTTCCACGTATTTCAATACTGTTCAGACTGGATTTCCATGTGTGCTTACATACATTTCAATAAAGTGCTGGTCTCCTTTCCCATTTCCAGATCCCAAGATATGGCAGCAGACTTTTTGCAGTATGTCATACCATAAAATTCCTATAATATACATTTCCTGTCAAGTTCTTCCACATCCTGTATCATAAATGTAGTTGACTATATTACTCTAAGTTGACTCAGGTAACTGTGTTATTATTGTGCTTTTAGATATAACTGCTGCCTTTGATACAGTGGATCATAAAATTTCTATTTCTCATTTAGAGCGGTTGGTGGGTGTTAGCGGTACTGCACTGCAGTGGTTCAGATCTTATTTGGCAGAGGAAACTTTCTCTGTGAAACTTGGTGAGTTTGTATCCTCTGTTGCTTCTCTTCAATGTGGAGTCCTACAGGGTTCAGGTTGAGGCCTTCTTTTCTCCCTATATCTGCTACCCCTTGGGTCTAATTTCAGAGTCCCTGAACTACTGAGCTACTACAGCCTGCCTGCTCCCTTAGGTCCTCCAATCAGCAGCTCCTTAAGGTGCCGAAACTAGGCGTAAATTTAGAGGTGACCGTGCGTTTGCTATAGCGGCTCCAAAGTTGTGGAATGATCTGGCCTTGCAGGTTAAGCAGACCTCTTCTCTTTCTGAGTTTAAAACTCAGAAAACATTTATTTGCTGAAGCCTTTAGCACTTTTTAAGAAGTTGACTGTTTTTTTCCCCTAATTCTCTATTCATGTTTTCATTTATTTTCTGCTTATGCTATTTGTATATGTACACCACTTTGTGGACCCTGGTTTATTTTAAAGTGCTTTATTTATAAAGGTGGTATGGTACAGTAAGTTGAATACAGGAAACAAATCCTGTCAAATTTAATGCACTATAAACTCTGTGTATGCACATTTAAATATCACAGTTTGGAGTCCCGATCATGACCTGGGACACTGCAAAAAAAGAATAAAATAAAAATAAAAAACAGCATGAAAATATAGAGTTGCTATAAATTTTACACTGTGCCCATTTTAATTTTGGCTCAAGAAACAGATCGAAGTACTTCACCCATCACCAATTTCATGTATAATGCAGCATAATTTGACCCAAACTCTTCCTTTGGTCCATTTAATGATTCATACACAAGCTGTTTCCATAACTGTTGCCTCCAAGGCTACATGAAAGTAATTTCCCTCATATTAGCTGAATTTGACAATAATATGGAACTATATCAATTTGCTGAATTCTGATTTTGTTTTAAACAAGAAAAAGATAATGGCAATAACTTGAGTAGTAAAGAATATTTTATTCATTAAATACAAAAAAGTTGAGAACAGTGATGACTAAAATAGAATAGAAAAGGCACAATAATTGAGTCAAAAATCACACTGTGCCGTGGAAAATAATACCGTCTCCTGTCTTCTACCTTATCTAAAAATAGCCAGTCTTCTTCCTGTTTTAAATCCATCGAGTTCTACTTTTGAGATTTCCCGTGGCAGTATAATGGCTTGGCATAAGGAGCAGTGCTGAGGTCAATTTTTCCCTGTAGCATCAAAATGAAGGCCTACAGAACAAGAGGAAGGGAAAAAAGAAAAGATGATCATTTTAAATGGTTAAACAGCTCAGGATGAGAAGATTTTATTCAGACTATTTTTACTGATTTACAATGCAACAGTATTTGTATAAACTGAAACAAAGTTTCATAGTATTAAAAAAAAGCAACTCTTTTAGTATCCACCTGCAGGTCACACAAGCGTTACATCAATTTATTAGAAAATACTGTCAATGTTACTGTCAAGTCTGAGAGGTTTTTCAATTCAAGAAAGAAATCTGAATACACAGTAAAGACGGCATGTGTAGCGCAGCAACAGAACATGTATGTGCATATTCAAAAGTGTGGCTGGCTTACCAATGGACACAGAGGTTTCACAAGAAGGAGCAGACCTTCTGTGGCCTGAAAGGGTTGGTGCTGGATGACACACCGGTGAGCAAGGGGTCTTGGAGAGCATTCTGTATGCAAAACTGTTGTAGATCTGCAGCTGCCTGAGAAACCTGGTGAAGACAAGAAAAAGTCACTTAGAGCAGGTGCATCCCAATATTTTTGAATGACTGCTCAGTCACCTGTATGATGCTTTTTGTAGCTGGGAAGAATGGAAAATGGACTGGATCTTCTATAGTGCTTTTCTACTCTACCTGAGCAGTAAAAGTGCTTTATATAACATGGCTCATTCAGCCATTATTGGAAGGTTTATCAAACATCGGGGTTAGCATCTTGCCCAAGAATGTTTGCCATACAGACTGGAGGACCTAGGGGCTGAACCACCAATCTTCCGATTGGCAGATGACCTGCTCTACCAGCCACCCCTGAAGATGCAGACCTGAACAGGGCTAATAATACTCCACTGCACAACTGAAGGAAACTGTAGAATGCACTTTTTAAGCCCGACCAATATCAGAGATGAAGCCTTGGTATCCAATTTTGCTTGTGGTACAACTGGAAATGCAAGAATTCTTTTAAAATAGACGCTCTTCATTTACATGGAACTGTAAACAAGGCACATCTTCTCCAACCATGACTGAATCCAGTCTTTTAGGTTGTTTGAATGTCGTTATAGACAGTATTTGGAAAAAACGTTCAGTGTTTGAATTTGCAGAAGTAGCTAATAAAAACGATCATTCTCATTATTCATCAATCATGTGCTTATGTCAAGTTACCTATTCAAATCTTATAACATAATTAGTAACATAAAATGTGAATTCAAAAAGGAATGCCCACTACACTTAGTTTACAAAAATTAAAACAAAATAATACATCCGTCTCATACATGGCGTTTCCCTGGTCTGTAAGTTTAAGAAATTTACCATCTAGTACCTTACTTTGAATAATTATTTTGTCAAGTAAAACCATTAGCTACACTTGGGGGGGGGGGCTATTGCGAAGCTAGAGTTTTAACATTTGATCTTAAATCGCTTCGTTAAATTCGTAACCAACTACAGCTATCTTGTCGTCATCTTATGTTGCTCGGGCGTTGTTTTATGATTACAAGCAGCGCGAAACTTCAACACTTCCCCCTCGGTACAAACAACGCCCTGCTTCACAGATACTCTCGGCCAAATTAGCATCACGGTGCTAGCATCCAGCAACAGCTAGCGCTGTTCGCAGATTTTTCCATTAATTGTCAGGGGAAAAAAAGTCACTTTTACTTACCTTAACTCTGTTTATGCTCGCCTCAAAACGAAGCTGCTGTACCACCTTTTTCATGGTCACCAGGTTGGATGAACCCGACATTTTTATGCCTTTTCTGTGATTGAAATAAAACGCTGGGCGGAGGGAAACACGTCTACGCTGGTTGCTGCTGAGACAAAAGCAAAGATGACGATATCCGGATTCCGGTTGTTCACACTTAATTGCAACTCCCGATTCAATCCACCAGGGGGCGACAAATGAAAGGGAAACTTATTTCATTATATTAAAAAACATCTTTATTGTTATTACTTCTTGAGAGCAGATCTAATCGATCTAATGTTAATGCAATACATACTTCAAGTCATAATTTATACTTATAGATTATGTAAACATAAAAGGTAATTTCAGTACAATCAACAGGTAGAAAAGAATTTCTGGCTACAACACACTCTTATCATTGCTTGGTACCCTTCCTTGAAACAGCTTAAAATCTGAATTGTCAGTAAAGAAATGAGCTATGGCAGACTTAAAGTGCTTTCTTGTGTGATCAAGCTTTGGTGAATTGTCTGTGCACATCCATTGAAAAATGATTGCTCAGAGCTGATGGATTTCAGCCACAGATTGAAACTAAACTTTGTTGCAGAGATAAAAACAAAAAAGGCACTTAAAAGTTCTTTAATTGAGGCTGTTCTCATCTTCACCCATAGAGAAAATACTCAAGTCACTGCATCGACCTCCGTTTTTTGCCTTGACCCGATTATCTCCATCTTCAATGGTGCTACACTCTTGCCAGAGTCCTCGATTTGAATGTCTGGAGGAACTAAAAAGAGAAAAATATATACAATAAGTAAGAGTCTCTTATCCTCACTGATTCATGCATCTGTTGTTAAGACATTCACATTTAATATCGTGCAGAGCATTTCACTGCATGAATGAAATGCAGTCCCTGAAAACAGTTATCTAGTAACTCACTAATACCTGCTTTCTGGTATTAAGCGGAGTGTCCGGTAAAGTTCAGGAGTTGATGGCACAGCAGCACTTTGTGAAGATCTGGGAGTGGAGAACGTCGTGTAGGTAGATGATTTGGCCAGCTGAGCTTTCACTGAAGACCTGATCTCTGGCTCACTTCCTGCAATACAGACCGTGTTTTAAGGACAACAGTTTTCTGGTAATGCATTAGGTGTTCATATGCAGTATTAGAAAATGATTATTTGTTAGTCTTTCTCTTACACCAAGTTTTTGTAGCTTTCACACTGATGTCCCCAAGCAGATGGTACTGAATAAACAAGAATGACTTGGCGATGTGATATTGTGGAGCTGTGCAATGATTTGGATAGCTCATAAATTGTATTCACAATAGAACATAGGAAACAGATCCAGTGTTTAAACTGAGGGGGGGGAAATATTGGTTCATTTTAAATTTGATGGGAGTGACACATTTCATAGCTCAGACAGAGGCCACAACAGATTGGAACAGTAGGTGGTACTAAAGAACAGCAGGAGGAACATTTCGCAAGTAAATCGGTTAGTTAGTAACAGAAATATGATGGAGTGCATTTAAAAAAAAGAAAAGGAAAAGTGCATCTTAGAGAGGCTGAGTTTCTAGAAAGGAAAGATGGAAATGGGTTCACAAAATTCAGAATAGTGTTCCTTAAAATAACATTGCAAAGACCATGAATATGTCATCATCTACAGTAAATGAGATTGAAAGGATTGGAGGAATCTGGGGAAATCTCTGTGTGCTAGGGACAAGGCTGAAAACACTGGATGTCTGATCTTTGGGTTCTCAGGCAGCACTGCATGAAAATCAGATACGATTCTGTCATGGAAGTAACGACACGGGCTCAGGAAAACTTCCAGAAATCTCTCATGGTTTGCTGTGCCTCCCACAAATACAGGTGGAAGCTCCATCATGTAAAGAAGAGACCATATCTGCACACGATCGAGAAATGCTGACATCTTCTATGGATTAAAACGCTTTTAAATGGACTGTGGCAAAGCGGAAAACTGTTCTCTTGTAAGATTTTATGGACGATTGATAGAAAGAAGAGGGGATGCTGCTCAGTGGTAAACTGTTAATGGCATCGAATTTCAAAATGAGTGAATATTTTTCTTACAATTGTCCATTTTAAAACATTTGATGCGTTCTGTGTCGTTGTTTCTACCCTGAATAAAAATCTGGAATTAAAAAT